TTTCCAAAGTAACCTTCCCAACACTGTTGGTATTATGGTTTATCATGGTTTGGCTTTTGCAATTTTTTGCAACGGCATACAGAGTATTATATACAATATAATATGCAGTGTTGCTTGGTTTTGTTTTGTTTTATCTTAGGAGAGACGTGGCACCTCTGCAAGAGAGACGCGTGTCTGCCAGAGAGATAAAAACTTTTGTTCTTAATTTATATGCTGCTTTGTAGGCTATTATTTTAAATTTTGAAAGTTTTAATTGTACGTGGCAACGCTGCAGTCGTTTTGGCAATACAAATGTAAAAATATATTGCAGTGATATGAAACTGTCCCGAGACTTCATGTAGGCCTAATCATTTTTAGTTTCATTATTGGGAAATTCCTGCGGTATGGACTGACATTCGCAGTCAAAACCTGAAATATAAATTCTCACAGAATGTAGGCTATTCATTACCAATATATTGAACCATCTCTTTATATTTTTCTAAATCCCTGAAAATAGTCCAGACATCAGAAAAGTATCCGTCTATGAAGTGTTTTATTATTTTAGATTTTGGAAATACACATGCGTTACGGATGTGACAAAGTTTTTGAGAGACAACATATTTTGTAGACTTTCTGTGATTTAAAATGCACAAACCACACTGTAAAAAATTTCAAGGTGTTTCAACTAATTATTATTTAGTAACTAGTTCCACAGAAATTTTACATTGTCAATTTCTGACTTCAAAGTGTTATCTTAATTGTTCTTTTTTTAGTTGGCTCAACCTTTACTGAACTAGTTTTATAGTCCATTCAGCTAAAATGTTTTAATTGGTCAAACATTTAGAAAACTACAGCAAGTTATGTCAATTAAAATTTTACCATTTACTCCATGTGTTTTATATGTTACCTCAACTAAGATTTATTATTTGGGCATCATAAGAAACTGCTGGGGAACTAGTTGTTACATTTCATATATGTTTATAGTTTTACACAATTATAAAAAATGATTAACTGGTGTTTGTCAGTCACTAAAAACACACACATTACAACACATAATAGCCTTTATTTATTAACAATCTCCATTTATAACATTTTTCATACAGACTAAACATAAACAGACCCAAATAACTATGGAATCTTTACATTCCAAAGGAAAACCAAAAGTTCTCCTACTCAGCCATCTGCGGTCGTAAAACTGATCAATGGGTAACCGAGGCACCTAATTGTCTCAAGCAGTTCCTGTCCCACTCTGCTCATCTTCTCAAGAGACGTTGAAAGCAGTGATAGACTTAATCCAATCAAAAGAAGAAGAAAACCCCTTTTGTTTTAGAGTCATGTCAGCCACAAATGGTTGATTGTCCCCTGGTGACCAAGCTTCATGTATGACAGGAAGGGAGGGATTTAGCAAACAAGCTCCAGGCCTGCAAAAACAACGGATCTAAAGAACAGTGACAATCAACCTCTGACTGAGACCATCCAAGGACCAGATGTGCAGTGTAACTTTGACCAGCTTCAGCATAAATCGATAATCCAATAAACAAGAAAGACAGATTTATAGCTCCATCGTCCGAGCGGGAAGATCAGCAGACCTCCACTTCCTTGACCTCAGGACATTCCTCCTCCCCTTTCTACTTGATAACTCGCACCCTTTTCATTGCAACAAAGGAACACGTGAACTTGCATAGATGATTTCAAAAGACAATAATTTAAAAGTATAAAAGGGCAACTATATTCACAAATAATATGTTGTATGTCTTATATATGCTTGATGTGTTTCATGTAATCGGTGCAACTTTAATCAATGTTTTATAACCCCTTTTTAGCAGATAAAGCTATTAATATGTGTGTAAGATATGTGAAGTTTAGTGTTGAATGAAAACTTGTGATAATTGCAGAACATTGAAATGAATGAAAAGCTGTTATTTTGAACAGTGTGTGTTGTATGACACTTTATAGAAGTTATTAACAAAACCGGCAAAGACATTTTCCCACGTGATTAATTGAACAGCATGTTAATTAATGCACGAAAAAGGAACCACATAGGGCGTAGCCTTGCAACAAGCTGATTGGGACAATCGCTTCTGGGATGGACTAAATCGGCTTGCTTAAAACCAAATGTCCCGAACAGATCAGCGCTCTTTCGCTCTCTCGCCTGTGTTCGACTGCGCTCCAACTGGCACTCACACGCTGCACCATCAAGCGATTGGGTCATTCAGTAATTCTCAAACCTTCCGTTGAAACTTTGTGACTGCCGAAGTCTTCAAAGTCTAAAGCCAAGCAAAGAAACTCTCAGAAGAACTTCAAGCGTCACTCTCCGTACCCAAGGCAACCGACTTCCGACGCTCCTACATCACAAGGACACCAACCATTCACCACGAGGGTTTCTCCGAAAAGATGTCATCCAAACGACAGATCTACAACCAATCAGAGGCTCCGGGCTTCCCTGAGACAAGCCAACAAGGAAAACCCCTCTCAGCTCTCAACTCAAACGCAAGTAAAACAAGGTCTCCTTACTAGCTGGAAAACTGATGCTAAATTGATCTTAAGCAACTAAAGATAAGCCAAATCGCTGCTTTTGTGATTTTCTTGGTGCGATCTAAGAACGAATAACTTACTAGACTTTTGGGACTTCCTCAGAACTCTGTTAACCTCTCATCCTTCGAATTTTGTGTGTGTGTTTTCGTTAGTAGTACCATGTAATCTATAGAGTAGTTCAAATAAATTAATGTTTATTATAAAGAATTATCTTGTGTGTATTTAAAGTTAAACTTTGCCCATATTTTGCTACCTAGCTCGTACCTTATAAATTATCACTAGCATGTATTAACCTGTGGCCAGGTATAATACAAATATCCAAATTGTTAAGATACACTGATGTTAACATCTTGCTGGACGAACAGTTGATAAAAGTGCAAACTATCAAATTTGTAATCAGTTCAATCAGGTTGATTTCGAATCTTCAGATTCGATTCCCCTCTGAAAAGTTAAATTCCTTATGGACCTTTTTAAAAAAAAAAAAAAAAAAAAAAAAACTAGCTAAACAAAATGTCTCCAATCAAA